TATAGTAGTAGTTTCATTGCGATAATACTTTGCCTTCTATTTTAGATAGATTTTAACTTTGTTTTCCGAAGTCTACTAGTCGGTTTTCGCTTATTCATAGCTTTGTTTTCTTCTTTCTTTCATTATTCAGCAGCTTTGAAATTTATAAAAACAGAGAGTTTCTACTTGATTTTTCCTTTTTGAATCACATAGGGACTCACCCAGATGGTGGTGCTCATTATTTGAAAGCTGTGTACTTCATAAACACCAAGCACTCCTGCTTCTCATTAGAGCCACCGTCAAGCCATTGATCGTCATCGCTCGTGTGGTAGCTAAAGACATTGCTTAAACTGGTCCGGACTAGCTGTGGTATTAATCACGCGGTTTGTTCTCTGATTTTAAAGTCTTTGAAGAAAGTTTACAAAATACCAAGAGGACAGTAAATAACAAAAGAGGCAGAGTACTGTTTTTATTAAAACCAAAAGACATCAACGACCGGAAACAGGACACTCACAGTACACGAAACGCTCAAACACACACAAACCCCAAACCAACATCACAACAAACAAACCATTATCTGTTTGCTTTAGACCGGCAATGCGTACTTCTCAGAAACCTCTTTCCACGCAGCACGGTTACTAATCTTATCCCACCACGCGCTCACGTGCTTCCTATCTTTGATCAAGTGAGCCTTCCCAATCGGACCCACGAGATACTCGGTGAAAGGAAGATGAGCTAAATCAGCTAGACTCACAAAGTCTCCAGCCAAGTATTCGTTCTTTGAGAGCTGTGCTTCATAGACGTCAAGCACTTCTCCAAGCTTCTCTTCACTCTCCTTTATAACTTTCTCATCAGCGGGAAAACCAATGAGCGGTGCAAAGACAATGTTGAGTGTTAGAGCCAGAAGTGGTGGGTGGTAGCTTGTTGCCTCCACGTCTAGCCATTGCTCTACTTGTCCTCTCTCTTCAATAGTCTTCCCCAATAGCTCTGGTCCTTGTGACCTGAACTTCTCTGCTATGTACCTCATGATCGCACGCGACTCTGCAATCAATAAAGCCAAAATCTCTTTCAGCATTCAAACAACAACACTTATGTTTTACTCTATCTTGATGATCACAAAAAGTGAAATACGACTATTTCCCCCACAATCAAAGCTGTAATAGACTATTTCCCCCACAATCAAACAATCTCAAGTAACTACTCATCAAACAAATTCACAGATTCATTGATCATCAAACTCCAGTAATAGAAATTCTTACTAAATATTTCATTTCAACATATAATGATCTATGGATCTCAGATTCATAATTTTGATCACCCGATTTATCACTATTGTGAAGACGAAAGCAAAGGATTCGGAAAAGAAGCGTACCGAAGATTTTGTAGTCCCCGTCGACAAGAACAGGGATTTTACCAAAAGGCTGCATCGATCAGAAAATTTCAAAATCAGATCGGAAAAAAATAAAAACGGAAAATCAGAATTGAAGAGAGAAGAAGAAGGAACCTGTATCGCAAGATACTCAGGCTGCCTTTGCTCTCCTTTCATGAGATCGACATGGACGGTCTCGAACGGTACTCCCTTCTCCACTAGCGTCACCACTGCTCTCTTCGATGAAGCGAATAAAGGCGCGTAGATCCTCAACACCATTTTTTCCTTCTTCTTTTTTCTTCTGCTGATCACTTCCGATCTCACTCTCTCAAGACGCGCTTTTATAGAAGAGAGAGAGTGTGTGAGTCGATTCGCTGCGTTTGGGGTCGTATAGTAAACGCAGCCCTACTTATTTAAAACGCAAATCGTCGATTTTGACTTTTCAGTCTTCTAAACGTCCCATCAAATTACTGTTTTTGATTTATTTTAGGCTTTGATAGTAACTATCGTATTGGACGATACACAACAACAGATTAGGTCTGAATGGTTACATTAAATTGTGCGGTGCGGATAAGAAAATGATGCAGTATGATTCAGTACAAGTGCGGTTTGTGCGAAAAAAATACATTATGCAGAATAAATACGGTTCATGTAAAAAAAACAGGACAAAACAATGTTTGATTGGTGAAAAAAATAACTTGCGGTACAATATAATTGTTTGATTGTTGAAAAAAATAAAAGCGGTTTGAGAAATATATTTTAGGTAATAATTTTAAAAAATCATGTGTAAATTGACAAAATATAATAGCATTTTTCTAAATTTTTTAAATAATAATAACAAAGATAGAACATACTCTAAACCACACCATATTGGATATTTTTTTTTATACAAAATTTGTTTCGCACATGATATATTTGTGGGTTAATTTGCCAAATAACGATACATAAAAAAAATTATCTAAAATGATGACCAAATACTCTAGATTTAAGTATTAAGATTTAGCCACATATGATAATTTTGGTTAGATTTTAAGATAAGTTTTTTTTCTTAGTTATTTGGCACAATTTTCATTTTTTTTTTGTTTCTTT